TGTCAAGGTAGGGTCATACAATCACATATTAGTTGTGATGTGTTCACTCAGTGCAGTCAAGAAAGATGGATAAAATTATAAACAAGATCAATCTCCCAAAGAGGCCTGATATATTCTTATGGAAACCATTCGTAAGTTGTGAATATCTCTCTCTTTCGGAGGTCCCTCGTCTATTTGTTTTTATTTCTTCTTGCCCAAAACATTTAGGAAACACACGTTTTCCCTTAGAGACCGGATTACTCGAGTTTAAAGGCAAACTTAAAATGGATTTCCTTAAAAAAGGACCTTTATAACGTTTTAGTATAAGGGTTTGATCCTGTTTTGAAAAGAGCAAAGTTGTTGCACGTACACAGCTGGACTTGTATTCGCAAAATAAATCGTTTAGGCGCATTCTCACTACTTTGTGGATAATTTTGGACTTAATACCCTCTTCCTTATTTTCCAGCCGTTATATATCCTTCATCTTTCGTTCAACACCACTAATATCAGACTGATATGTTTGACTTACAAAGTTATCTCTAAGATCTGGATGAGTATGGTCAACTCCATCATCAAGAATACTAATGACCACTCCTCTTCCCGTGATCCCTTGCCGCCAAACAGGCATCACATCAAGATCGACACCAGCCGGGCCAGTGGATTGTCCTTGATTTAACTATATACAGAAAAATGTGCAAAGTATAGATACAAATTTTTCATTTTTATGGAGGTCTTTTAATTGTTGTTGTAACAAATAATCTTTGGACATAAGAGTTTTTAGTTTAGTTCTGTATCTAGAGACCTCTTAGCCTAAAATCAACCATTTCATCCATCTTACTTTATATTTAACAGATCAAAGTTTTAACTGGCTCAATCAAATCGTTAACTGAACCGAGCTCCACGAAAAACTGCTTATGAATAAATTTCTTCCAGCGAACAAGAATATACTTACAAGATACCACTGGTCTCTAAACTTAGGATCAGATGGGATTCCATCCTTTCTAGATCTTACTAAAATATGTTGGTGTTCTGCCCATACAACCTGGAAGATGCAAAGATCACTCTTTTATTAAGATCGTTTGCCACGTGCCATATAATTACTGATGTATGCAAGAGATCCAAGATCCATTTATCGTGGGTGTGGAACAAACAAGATCTGAGTTCCAGTGAGGGTTTGATTCCAAATAAGTTACGATTTTCAGTCAGTTGATTTGTCAATTGACCTATGGAAGCTTGCGCTATAACATACGCCATTTTTCACTAGGAGTTATAAAAGGGCGCCGAGCACCTTTAGTCTTACTTCAAACGCAAACACCAAACGAATTCATCTTGGGTATGGAAATATAACAACAACATAAGGAAGCAAGTTGTGCTTACTTCATCTTCAGATAGCAGTAGCTTGGTTTTTTCGTGCACATCACGTTTGTGTCTTAAGCCTTTGCCTTCGTGTTTAAAATGATAATATCCTGTGAGAGAGCCAACCTAGTATGAAATTACAAAAAAAAAATATCTGTAATAAAGAGATTATTTACATTATACTCTAATTTTCTTCAGAGATTCATACCTTAAGATCAAGTTTGGTAATTAAGATATCTGGGTTTGGCACATCGTAAATTACTTGAATTAAATTGAGTTTTCCCCATGAGAATATCAATTGAAATTTTTTTGGTTTTCCTTATGTTTTCCGTTGGTTTTTAAAAGGTCTTTTAGATGCGGTGACTTCCCTCGAATGTGAAGGAAAAAGCCATAGATCTCACCCCCAAATTATGCATGTTTTCATCTAAGCCAAACAATTTAACGGCCACAGTACATACATGAATCTCTATTCCAAACAATATTCAGCAGTCATGATTTGACTATGCACGACTTTGAACTTGAGAACTGACTCGAAGAAATGCTGAGAAACAATGATGAGCTTTTCAAGTCTTCGTAGCACTCGAGAGCTACCGTATATACCACTTGCATCCACGGCAACTTATTTCACCATGACCATAAGAAGGCAACTGGAAGGAAACTTTCATTAAAAATTGTGATCAGATTCCTTCACGGGAAGAAAAACTCTCTATAATTTTCCCCTGCATCAAAGTGTGGCTTCGTAGCTCAAATTTTCCTTTTCTGCAATTGCCAAAGTTGTAGCTCATCAGCAAGTATCATTGCTTTACTTGTGATAAGAATCTAAGGTACTGATAAAACTATAGCAATTTGGAATTAATCTAAGTATTTAAATATACCCACATGCTAATTAGCATGGCATTTTTTTCCCAATTTGTTTATGATATTTTTGAAGTAGAAAATCAGTCATTAGTACAAACAAAAATAACATAGTTTGTTTATCTAGTGGATGCAACAGAGGCATTCTAAGGATGAAGAACGTTGCAGAATTAATATCAATGATTACTGTAGCGAAAATTGGACGACTCATTTTGAACAAGTCTGGTTGCTTTCTTAAGTGAATCTTCCAGTGCAAAATTGTGCTGAGTAAATTTTTAAGACTTAATTACGTACTTCTCAATATTCAGTCTACATTGTAAAGTAGAAGTCAACAATTAAGAAAACATGACTGGTGATCAATTAAGAAAACCAACTGTTGATTTATAAGTGGCATGGCGCTTTTGAAATAAAGATTTTAAGAATATGTCTTAAATTCCACAGAAATCGAAGCAAAGCGAGACATCTTACTGGAAATGATCTTAAAAAGTCCATAATCACAGTTTCTAGTTTCAAAAAAGGAATCTTAATGACAAAATCCACTCTTAGTAACCGAATGCCACCGGGAGAAATTATTGACGTTTGAACTCAAAGCTTAGAACACCCGCAGAATAATATAAAGAAAAACTCGAGTTTACCTACCTGGCCGTAGTTTATAAAACCATGTTTCTTAGCAATCCTGTCTGCGACTTTAATCTCCGCGGGATCGAGTTTGAGCGCCCAGGAGTTCGTGAACATTAACTCTCCATTGTCGTTTTTTAGCGCATCTTCAAACTTGTGAAGTTCTTCCCATTCTCTTCGCGTTAGCTTTGGCGTCGTGTCAAAGATTCTTCTTCCTCTTTTCCGCGATTTCTTAGCAGGTTTTCCAAGTAAGACGGCGATTTCCGAAGCGAGGATTAACAACGTGATGTAAACACGCCATCGCACTGGTTTCATTTTTTACTTCCAGCGAAATTGTTAGAGAAATCGAGGCCCAATTTTGTTGAATAAATTCATGACCATGGCCATCTACTTACGCAGTCTGATGCACGGTGTATGTCATGGTGGATAGCAGGTTGTGGGTTGTCTTGAGAAAAACGCTTGGGTGAACCTCAGCTCTTTGGCTTATCCATGCAGGAAATAATCACCGCTACAAAAATCACACTCAGCAGCAGACGTACCGTAAATATATTGTGATATAGGTCATCGGCACGATTTTTGTAAGAGCGCGCTGGGCGAAAGAATAGCAGATGAGGAGAAATTTCAGTGCTTATTGATGTTAAGCTCCTATTCATCTTTGATTTAAGATCGTTTGACATTTTCACCGTATCCATTTGTATTTAGTCACTTTGTTACATGACAGTAATTATACCGAAAGTGAAGACAAAGTTAGGTTCCCCCTTAATTGATCGTTGTTCAGTTCCCTAAGACCGGCAAAATACCCAAAATTATGGAAAGAATAAATGAAGAACCAGCAAGCTTTTAAATCTTTCAGTTTAAACATTAAAATTCTATCTTCTGTCAGTCACGGTAAGGAATAATAAAAAACTTTAATTTATTTAGTTCTGACACACCTCCGTCACCGCGGCTACAGTTCAGGTTCGTTACTTTTCATTTGTATTTCACCCGGTACATGGACACACACAAGCTTAGCCTAAGGGCCAGTTATTGAAACGAAGTTTAGCCGTTATTTAACCGCGCCCTAAACAAACCTCAATTTAGCTTGACCTTTCATACGAACATTGATTATTTTGGAACACTGTCGAAAGCTAACTAACATTTGTTTCAAATAAACGTCCTTCCACTGTTGGTAATGACTTTGAATATATGAAATCATTTGTGCATTGTGGATTAAAAGAATTAGATGAATATGAAGGCAATATGAACATGAACATGATGAACACTACTTCAGCAGTAATGGAAATAAATTCAGGCCTGTACGGGATTTGAACCCATGACCTTTGCGATACTGGTGCAATGCTCTACCAACTTAGCAAACTACCCAACTGGGAGCTGGTCATTATGTTCAACTCTCTTATAGAGAATCAGCCCTCTTATAGAGAAAATCTAAGGCCCACTGTTTGCGTAAAATCATGGTTGGGCTAGACTTCGTACTTCCTCGAATCGGGAAGAAGTTTGGCTCAAAATATAAGAATAATTAGCAAAGAATAAAGAACTACGAAAACGCTAAAAACTAAGCTAAGAAAAAGAAAGAAAACCACGAACAAAGACAATTACGGAATTATATGTAATCCTGGCGCCTACAAAGTTATTGTTGTTGTCGCATGACGTATGCGACCTGGTGTCACTCTTTGTCGATAACTCCAAACGAAACTGGTAATCTTGCTCGCAATTAATAGTCATTGTGTTCGTTTATCTAAGGCGCTACACTTAGTATTTCAACAAGGACGATAACCCGTAGGCAACTTGTCCTGTCTCTTCTCGGTACTGGTAAGCAGGGGACGTCAAAGAACCCATGCACTTCTCGCAAAGAATAGGAAACGTAGTTCCTGGCGTTGTGGTCTCGCGTTGTCATTGTTTACACAGGCCCCCATTTTAACCAGCTTTGAGCTGAACTGGGCCAAACTGTCTAAATATCGCAAATACATACATACTGATAATTCGCTGGTGCTGATTTGCTCTATTGGGATCGAAGCTTAAGTGTCTTGTTCAAGGGCACTGCACAACCCCTTACCTCACGATCGACTAGTTGTACGCCATACTCGACACTTGTTCATCGCTTTCGGAGGTAACCTTTGTAAATTGCTCTCTTATCTTAAACACCAGAGCTTTAGTCAAATATGAAATGAGTCAACACCTCTTAAAAACAACTTTGTTTAATGTGACACTCACTGCAAAAAAATTGCCAGCTAGGTTAGGGAATGGAGTGGATTCACTATGGAAAAGATGGAAACCAATCATGTAAAACTGTATTCTCTACACACTGATTGAGGTGGGCTACCAATCTCACGAACTGGCTAAGTCCTCCTTGTCACAAAGATAAAATATTGGAGAAAATTTCAGGAATTAATGCATAATAGAGACAGAACTTGGGTGTTTTAGAGCGAGCTTCATGGCCAAGGATGCACTTAGTTTACGGTTTTGTATTCCTAAGGGGGGGATAACACCTATGTGTATGAAATCACTGCGTGCTTTTTCTGTGAAATAAACGTCCTACAGTTTACACTTGATTTGATTGCTTTTGGGCTCCTACCCCATTCAAACCAGCAAAACTTTCTAAGACCGGGTTTAACTAAATGAAAATCAGACGCAGAGAACTGAAAAACTGAATTGTCCATAGGAGGGGAGGTAGTCACTAACTTGTATTTTAAATGTGCAAAATATGAAGTCGACAAACATCGATTTAAGCGGCTCCTACAAAGATATAAATTGAAGACCGTGTTTAACAAAACAGTCTTGACATATGTTTTAGCTTTTGTGTGAATGAGGTAGCGGTATGTTCGTTAGCACAGTACAAAACTTGTCAGAAAATATTCTACAATTCACTGTGCGGTGAACCAGAGCAAAGTATTGGTAAAAAACCACGTTCTTTTTCCGAAGCAGAGTCCCCCTAAAGCAAACAATGGTTTTCATAACTTTGATAATCGGCTTGAAGAAGGAAACTCTCTGTGAAAGAGCGCCTTTCAATTTAAAAAAATTCCTAAATCGAATTCATGGCTCAGCCAATTCGTCATTCAGGGTCTAATTTGAAGGCACGCCCTATCCAAGCCGTTTATCAAAATTTAGCAAAACTTCCAGATGGTATAGGGTCCTGGTGGTGATGTTTCTGTTCGAAAGAATTATAAAACAGATAAATTAATAAAAATCGCTATACTAAATGTGATTAATTTTCAGTTCCATAAAACGTGACCACCCATTTTAATAGAACCCCAGAACAGCCGCTGGCGAGACATGGAATCTCGGGATTTTCGTAGCCCGCGTTTACTTGAACACGCTGGGTTGCGGTTTCCTCAGCCGCAACTTGGACCTTTTTCTTTATCGTATTGGAATTATTGTTCACTACAACACTTTTCTTGGCAAAGGTTGTCTTCGAGTGCCTCTTTCTCCCTCTAGATTTCTTATTCTTAAGTACAGATGGTGTTTCTCGGAGAGTATCTTTAAAACCGTTGTTCTCATCCATAGTGTCTTCGTCGATAAAATCTTCATCATCGGGGAAATCATCCCGGGATGTCCCGCTCGAATCCGAGGGGTCTGAAACGTGGTCTCGATCCTCGGCATCCATTTCCTCGTCGGGTATTTCTTCCAAGGGAATTCCCTCACTAACATAAGCTTTAGGCTCTCGCCCACTTCCCGATTCTTGTGGATTTAGGTCAAGTCCAGGGTCTGAGAAATCCTCGTCGCTGCCAGAAAAATCCCCACTTCCCGATCCCTCGGGGTACGCAATTCGGCTTCGATCGTAAACGTACTCCGTGGCGCTAGCCACATCGCTTTCTGTGAGATTATAAAGATCGTCTATGACGCTTTGCTCACTCATTTCCGAGCTGTTCTGGTGCCGCACCTCGTTTCGTCTAACTCCCGGGGGATATGGAAAATCAATATGGTCGTTCTGTTCAAAGAAAATAGTAAATAACAGTTACTACAATTGTTATTAGAGTCAGACGCAGATAAGCAAAAGGTTGTGTGAGGAGCGCGAAAAAATTGACCACCTCAAATATATGTAACTGTAACCGACTAGGTGCGGGTAGGTAAACGGTGAATATTTCTAAGGGCCTGGAAACTGTAACCGACTTGGTGTAGGTAGGTAAACGGTGAATATTTCTAAGGGCCTAGAAACTGTAACCGACTTGGTGTAGGTCGCTAAACGGTGACTATTTCTAAGGGCAAGAGAACAATAATTACTTTTAAGCGTGGGAAACTGTAACCGGCGCCAAGCGCAGGAAAACGGTGACTTCCGCTAGGCGCGGGATAACAAGGATTAATTTCAAGCGCGGGAAGCAGTAACCAATCAGGTGCAGGCAGGTAAGTGGTGACTACTTCTAAGCGCAGGAAAACAAGGATTACTATCAACGGCGCGAAACCGTAACCGACGCCAAAGGGCAGGGAAACGGTGACTACAAAGCGCGGGAAGACAACGATTACTTTCAAGCACAACAATTTGTAAAAAGGTTGTAACTGTAAATAAAAACACAACATAGCATCCGGTGAAAACCACCTTTCGTATTTTCGCCACAGTACCTGCATCTTCAGCTGCTGAACGCGAGTTTGCTGCTGCTTGGTTTGATCGTCAATAACTTGTTCCTCCAAATCTTCTACATCCGTATCTTGTTTGCTCGTGTCCAGGTGTAGCGTACCGTAACCGTTCAACACACGGTCCCCAATCTCGTTCAGCGGATTATCAATGAGCTTAAGCTGCCAGAAACCGCGAGGATTTTCACCTGTATAGAGTTAAACATTGATTTAAAACTCAGTGTTATACAAGCCTTATACCACTGCGAATATTTTATCTTATAGACAACACTTACCCCAGCAGTGTACGGTCATAAAGCCCCAGTTATCAAGACCCTCCTTGGAGTCGTCGTAATGTCGAGTAGAAAGCATTTCATTCTTCGTCCCTGACGGTGACATCAGTAGAATGCTGACGTCACCACGGCGTCGGTGAATAAAGCTGATGGTAAGTACTACGTGTTCAAGTTTGTTTATCTCGGCAATAGTCCCCGCGCATGCTTTAGTGGGTATGGACAGTTCCAGTGCACCACCTGAAGGGATATCCCTGTAAAGTGAAAGAAACAATACCGCCTGATTAAAGCATGTGGTGTTGAGGGAATTCGAAGCTACTCTGTCAACAGGACTGTAAAGTTTCAGACACAATCACGCCCGATTAAAGCGTGTGGTGTCGAGGGGTTTTTGAAGCTACTCTGTCAACAAGACCACAGCGATGTAGTTGCACGGTATATGTTGTTGTTCAATTTTACCTGTGGTTTCAATTTTTCTTTGCTTTTTTTCAGTTAAATTAGACAAATTTTAATGCAAAGCGCTATTTTCCCTTCACCTTGTGAACAAGGGACATGGATTTCAAAAAGGCTAATGCCACAGTTCATAAATTGTAGCATCCACCCTCATTTTTTCTCTTTTTTCCTTTTTCTTCAATTCTATTTTGATCGCTTTGATTCATTCTTATCGCCATGGTTTTCGCCTTATCTATGTTACCATTTTCATCCTCCATTACATTCATAGGACATTTTTGACGCTTAAAATTAATCTTAAGTATTGAGAAATAGCTCCTCTAGATGAAAAAGAGTCTCAGGTATTTTCGTCATCTTAACAAAAAACTCAGTACGATTCCAAAACAAAGTCTTTCAGCCTGGAATGTCAAGTTTTTGCAAAATTTTGAAACTGTGATGTAAGTGACCTTTCTTCTATACTGGCTGCTCCAGTGCAAATCCGCTGTGCTGGTACCGAAGTCCATGTTTTTGCCATTTCTACCATAGCGTCGGCATCCAGGCGACCAAAACCAAACTTGTGATTGAAATGAAATCCCGCTCCATTTGTCCGCCATCCATCATCCACAGGACTCGTTAGTTTAGCTGTTCTGACGATGATATGTTGCATGTCCCGCCAGGTGAGTTTGTTACTGCGAAAGATTTACATCAAGAGTATAAATAAGAAAAGATATGAAAAAAAGAAATGAAAAAATAGAGTACTTTTTACTAGAGTTTGGGAAAACCAAAACCAAAGCAATCACAATCTCAGCCAATCAGAGCGAAGGTTGACATCATCATTAGCCAATTAGAAAGGCGGGAAAACGCGAGTGAGCAAATCGTGATTGCGTTTAGTTTTGAATCTGATTGGTTGAGAAGGTGGAGCGAGCTTTCTGGAACAATCACAGATCAAAGTTAAGCAAACCAAAGCAATCCTGAGTCACTTTCGTCGCTCAATTGAAAAATGCTCTAATGATAAATACATTTTCGTCAATTGGTTAAAAATCCAACCAATGTCGTGAACAAGCAATTTAGAGAGTGCACTGTCTGATAAAATCTGTGAATTACTCGCTAATGTCAGCGCAGACGCTGAAGATAGTAATTGCAAGAAAGCGTTAGAAAAATAGCTTACTTCGCTTCCAACACAAGAGCTATCATTCCTGCTGCTAAAGGGGCGGCAGATGAAGTCCCTTTGAACTGTTCTGTACATTGATGATGGAGGTCTGTAGTTATCTGTAAACAGTTCAATTAAAAAAAAGGATGTCGAACTTTGCCTCTAAAGTGGAACAGTGACACAAATCTTAACTGCAACTTGTTCCGATTTTCTTGCGATTGGAAGCTCTATATGCTAGCGAAAATAGCCATATAGTAGATTCATGTTTCACAAGCGCTCTGCATTCTGTGGGGGGGCGTTCTTTTGAGGCATACAATAAGAAAAATTGTAAATTTTTAACTTGATCTCTAATGAAAAATGACGATAAGCAGTACAATTTACCCAAATTTAAGACTAATAGATATTACTTTACTTCAGTGAATTGCCATAAAATTACAGTGTAAGTATGAAAAGCTGTCAGCTTACCATTTTGTTTTCTTCGCGCTCTCTGTGTGCACCTCCGTTAAATGTTACTGCGAGGGTGGATGAGCACAGCTCAGTGTAGTAAGCAGAGAGGCCATGATCACCGATACAGCCGATAGATACTGTGTATATACTGGTAGTGTAGCCATCACAGTTGCAGTCATCATCTGTAAGACCTCCATTGCCAGTCGCCCACACGTAAATGTTTCCTTTGCCACCGCGACCCTACAAAAGCCATTGTGAATTCCGTAAGTTGCTTCTAATCTTGAATAATATTATGGGAAAACTGAAATTACGGACTTATTGGGCTACTTATATAGCACAAAGAGATGAAGAGGTAAAATAAGAAGCGAGAAAAGTTAGGGAATCAACATTTAGTTCTGTGTCATGCATTGTTGGCTGAATGACTTGCTCGTTGACTAGATGGCTGGCTTATATACTTTATTACTGATGGAGGGACAGACAGAAAGACAGACACAGACACATAGAATCAAGACAATGTGGTTTTATCAACTGAGTTGATAATGGAAATTGGCCACCATAAAGAGTATCTAAAGCCGAACTTTTGAGTGTTAGCTCTTCGTCAGAGAGAATAGTTCACGTTGATTCGCCCAGACGAAGGGCTAACACTCGAAACGTCAGCTTTACAAACTATTTTTGGCGGCAAATTTGCATTAACAACTCAATTGATAAAACCAAATTATCTTGAAATATCCTTCCCTTCCCCACCGACGCAGCACAACAGTTTCTCCAGACCCCCTTAAGAGAGACAGAGGGACTAATAGACAGGCTCACTAACTGACTGACAGACTGACTGACTGACTGACTGGCTAACTGACTAGGCAACTGATGGAAATCTTAAGCATGATTTCATCTTTTACTACACTTACTTTCAATAAAACCAAACAGGAAATATATCATCGTATCTTACCGTTTCAGCTCCTCTCTTCAGCGCCTTAGCCGCCAAAGGACCCGGCTTCCCGAAAGTTTTCCCATCATCCTTTGGTCCCCAACAGTTACTGAATACGTCTACATATTGAAGTTGAAATCCCAGCGAGCTCGCCTCTAACGCGTCAGTGGCTTTACCGTCTAACATGCGAACGCCTTGAATGATAGAAAATTACTCTGTTATACCAAACAATGCATAAGTTTTGCGCAGATTTGAGTCCCAAGATTTGAGAGAAATCACTGACAAACTTAGAATACACAACCACATCAGCTACGCTGTAATTTTATCGTGTCTAAACAAATGCTTTTATTTTATTATTCTTATTATTATAACTATTACTATCATTATCATTATTATTATTATTATTATTATTATTATTATTATTAAATTGAAGCTTATTAGGCTTACTAAATTCTGGATTTTTCTGACGACCAGAGCGAAACGCAAAAGCACAGGGGAAAAAAAAGCTCATACAGCAACACTTATAAATCCATGATGCGCCTTTTCAGTAATGAAAAAGTTGTTAATTTCTGGCTCAATACTGGCAACCATCGAAATCCGAAAGTACAAACGTTACAACCACCAACATTGCACCAAAATGTATTTCTAGAGAAAAAAAATGTATGAAAAGAATCCCCTGGTGACATGCGAGGATATCGCTATACCGAATCGTTGGCTGCTCACAGAGAAATACATCACTTATTTTACAATAGCAAAAACAGATCGAAGTTATTTTCTCTAAAATAATCCTACCTCCTACATGCGCGTGGTACGCGACCCCCGTTCCACAAATGGTGTTGTTTGCTAAAGCTGCAACTTCTCCCGCACATCGGGTGCCATGACTTAAAATTCAGAGATAAAAAGAAGGAAAAACATCAGCCTCCTGTATCATTTTAAGGAGTGCACAATTAGAGCACTATAAAAAATTGGGACCCTTCTTTTTCTAATTTTTCGTTGTTTTCGATCCGGACCGATCATTTCAAGTCTTTCAAATCTTGACCATCCTCGTTTACACCTTGCAAAGACCTTACCACATGAAAAAGCGTGCACTGGGTGCAATTTCTGTGCGCAATTTCTGCCTGATAAGTGTTCATGTAACGTGATCGCATTCACTAAGAGTAATACCACTATTATTTGATAATCAGTTTACTGTTAACCCTTTAACTCCCACATCAGATTTGTAATTCTCCTTACTGTCAACCATGCAATTCATATAATGTTAGTTCAGAGAATTTAGTATTGGATCAATTAATTATCCCCAAATTGACATTTTTCTTTATTCTCATCACTTAGCGGGTTGATATTGTATTGATATTGTAAGGAGAAATTCTGTCTTGGTCACTCATGGAGTTAAATGGTTAACATTGATTTATTACCAGTTGTCAGGATCAGTATCTCGTGGTCTAGGGTCATCGTCATTATCATTGAAATCATGGCTAGCTTTTGGATCCTGCAATTCACAAATTAAAGGAGGAACAAAAGGAAGAAAGTTACCACATCTGTCAGTCAAATGTTAATAAAAATGACAAAAAGTGTACGCAATACAACTCTGTTCATGGCAAGTCAAAGCAGATATCAGTAATGATTCCTTGAAGTTAACAATTCTGCACTATTACTCCATAAAAGTTAACTTAGTCTGGTTACCATAAAAAAACTATACAAATTTTCAAACACCTTGAGCTTTCAATTTTGCTTACATGTTTCAGTTTTTAACAGATTAAAAATTTTTCTGTCATTTTTTAATGATTTGTTTATTTTAAAATTAATGATTTTGTCACAATAATGTTTTTTTATAATTTAACAATATCTAACTATTTAGTTTTTAATTTTCTTTATATATTGTAAATAATGTTTGTTGATGATTGACTCGAATAGCAAATTTGCTACTTAAAAATGTGTGTGTAAGTGTGTAAGTGTGTATAAATGGTTCAGAACTACCTTAAATATTTAAAACAATGGGTGATAAGAATGTTTTGTATCTTTTTTTCACATCATGCCATCCATCTGAAGTACTGCACCTGTACAATCATTGTCTATCTTAAATTTACATGAAATACAACTACCTTAAAAATGATAACTTACATAATTTGCTGCCAAATCTGGGTGAGTATGATCAACACCTTAAAAAATAAAATTAAAATATTAGAGTCTAGGAACTAGATGAAAAAAATAAGCATCTTCTATATGAATAGAGATTGACTATCATGGCAGAAAAGAAAATGACTGCAGAGGACTTTATGGCAAGAAAGTCACTATTCAATGGCTTTAAGTAAATTTTGTCATGACATTATAATTATACACTCTAGTTAGTGTACTGTTCACATAATTGCGAGGCATATAATGATCAACTGCCATAAGTATATATCATATTCTTGAAAAGTCCTCAGTTGTGATGAAAATTCATCAACTGCCAAAGTTGATACAACAGAACTCTTTGAGTAGCTGACCCCTTCAAGCTCAGAGTAACACCTCAAGGAAAATTTGATTTTTTTAAAACAGACCTCTCACTGAACATCTAAGTTTGTTCTCTGAACATCTAATTTTGTTTTCAAGATAGTGTTATGTAACTGAAACTGGCAGGAAAAGTTACATGTTGGCGGTAACTAGGTTAAAGATGCCCCTTTTTCAGACTTTAAATCTGTACTATGAATAGAGATTTGGAGTGGATAATTAAAGGAGTGTGTAGAATAAAACCCGATGTGACTTTTGATTTAACATCAACTTCTCCCTCTGTTTTACAAGGAAAAAGTGAAAATCTGAAAGGAGAATCTTATAATCTATAGGAAGTCACTTATGACTTTTTTTCGTGAATCGTTTCAGTCATAATCCAGTACCCACCATCATCTAAAATAGACACCACAATTCCTTTGCCTGTATAGCCTTTCCTCCAGACTGGAAGGACATTAATATCCACTCCAACAGGTCCTCCTGTCTGACCTTCATTGAGCTGATAAAAATATCATCATTCATTAATCATAGCCTTGAATTAAAATAGCTAACAAAGGTGAAGCTAACTGTTAACAAGAGATGCTGGTCAGTGCTTGTGTTCATGGTGCACCACTAGATCAGCCTTTTGGTTTTTTTTCTTTTTCAAAGTAGCTTGGTGAGAAAGATTTCTGGGGAACATAGGAGGATCAAGTCTTCTATTTTGTGCTGCTCTCATCCCCTCTCCATGGCTCCTTTTCAAATTCACTGTAAACATATCTCTCTGTGTGGGCTCATACCTCAGGGTTAACATTCCAGGCTGGATCCAGATAGTTAACCACAAGTCAGAAAAGTTTAATTTCTTGAGGTGGGATGGACATAGCAGAGGACCTGTGATATCTAAAGTACTCACTGTCCATACAACCCTATGCTGTTGTACTTTTTTTCATTACAGGTTCAGGTACCTCAACTACCTCACATATTAATTGTAAAACATACTCATCTTACCAAATACCACATTTCTCTAAACTTCGGATCTGTAGGTATTCCATCACGTTTAACTCTGTGAAGAATCTTTTGCTGTTCTGCCCACTTCACCTGGTTTAGATACAATTGGATGTCATGTTGCATTTCTCCATACATATTAATCAGAGGTTACATCCAACCTTTTCACCAGTGATGTTTTTGGGACATTGTACTTATTCTATGAAAATACAACCCCTATCATACAATCCTCCACAAGCTAAAGGTGCCTAAGAAATTCTAAGTCTTGCTGATGTTAAAATTTAACATAAAAGTAAAATAAAATATTGAGAAATGTGCTCACAAAAATACAGTTAATACTCTTGTCATTGCTCAAATCAGAAGATCAAACATTTGTGATTTGACTCACTCTTTTGTTCTGAGACTAACCTCTTTCTCAAGTAATAATCTATCAGTTTTGTCTCTGTTGTGCTCTTTATTAAGTTCATCCACTTCATCATGTCTAAGATGATAATGACCAGGAAGATCTCCAATCTAAAAATAATGCATTCTCATTTAAGGGCCACATGTGGAACACCAAAACTTGACTAATCTTTCAAATAAGAAAGATAGGGTTTTTTGAAGATCTAAATTAATTTCACTATTATTTCTATATACATATTTAAAACATTTAAAAACATTCAAAGATTTGGCAGTATGCATGCAGGCAGATGCTTTTAAAGCCTGGTAAGACATGTGCCAATAAATTAGGTCTTCTAGCTGGTTTCTATAATGAAATATTGACACAAGTCAATTCACTGTTTTAAAGATAGCATCATATATTTTACACATAAAAACTTCAAGGAATTTATTTAGGGATCAGAAAATATCATCAGTTTTACATCAGTATTGCCTTTTCACATTTTAACCAAAGGGAATGGCCACATTTTTTGAAAAATTGGTCTGTATAATGAGACAATGTATCTCTCTTGAAAGTACTTAGAAATTCAATACTCGTGATAATGGCAAATATAAGGCGACTTTAAGTTTTCTTTTTTAAATCCACTTCTCTGGTAGGTGTAAAATGAAAGTACATCCCATGCACAAGAAAAACGGATTTTACTCAACCATGTCGGCCACCATGTGTTGTTTGGATAATTCATAATATTAACTGCGTTCTAACTTCATCCAGGCAAATATTGTTACAAATAATTCCACAGTCTTTCTTCCAATTAACTTTAACTAACCTTTCCTATAACTGAAAAACCATGTCTTTTCGCAATCGCTGCGACTACGTGTTCTTCTGCAGGGTCGATTTCCACGGCCCAAGTGTTGGTAAAATAACCTTCCTTATCGGCCAATTCTCTCTTCCAATCTCTCGTATTGTTCCAACTAGCGCTAAACTGCGGTCTTCCCCACGACCCCCAGTAACCACTTGAAATTGTTACTAACGCCAAGTACGCTCTTGTCAAGAAAAAAGGCCCATTTCCCATATTTTCGTTCCAGTAAACGGCGATCGCTCTCGTGGAGGCATTCGAAAAGGAATTTACCCATGGATGACAAAGCAATTAAATCATTTATGTTGACAAACGTCGGCAGGTATACCCTGGTAAAACCCTGATGAATTTCTCGCTCTGACAGGTGGGTTTATTCTTTCGTTCCACACGACTTTTATGGTCTCTTGCGGTCGATTTTCGCAAGGAAAGACATAAAACATATCCCTGAAACACATTGACTGAAAACGAGATAGATCTTGACGAAAACATTTTCTAAGTTCTGTCGTCCGAGTCTGTCGATTCTCACACAATACAAGTTCACTCAGATCAGAGGTGACCTTAACCTTCGTGTTAAAACTTGTTATCTCATAGCACCATCCACATGATTTCGGGATCTTCTCTCTGAATATTTCTCACAAAAACTCATATCGTGTGTTTTGAAAAATTTTGAAAACTCGAGATTAAAGAAAATCAAAATAATATTTTCAAAACCGCCCGCCATCTTGAAAACAGCTGAGCGCATACAGTCTACAATGAATCAGCTGGCAAAGCATTGCATGCTCATATGTATTGGGAATTTGACGTCACGAGAAAACATTATGGCGATAAAGATGGACGAAAAGGCTATGTTTGTATTCTTCTAAGAGAAATAGGTTTGTTAAAAATCAAGATAAAAGTATGTTTAGCTGGTGGTCCTCTTTGGAGCCTCCAAAAAGCGAAGGTGGTGGTGATACAAGCGAGAAACCCGTGGAAGGAGAGCCGAAAACAACTGTTGAGAACTCTGATGATTCTAAACCCGACGTCTCAACAAACGAATCAGAAAGAAAAGGGTCCGAGCTTGATTATGCAAAGGACGTAGCTAAAAATGTAGGAAGTAAGTATTTTTAATTGTAGTACGAACTTTAATTTTGCTTTTCAAGGTCGCAGCTCAATTAGTTGATGATGATTATAAGGGTGTATATATGCAAACAAAAGCGTTCGAGTTTTTCGCTTCTGGTCCGAAATATATTGATTTAAAAACTAAGTTGGTTGAATATATCATTTAAACTGCCTAATTCAAGGTATTTGTAAGAGGGAAATTGAGTCAGAAGATACAGGAATTAAGAATTTTTTAGCTAAATTTTACTTTTTGATAAAATTACCTTATTTAATGCTTAATTTAAGTACAAGTTAGCTGTTTGATAAACAACCTACACTGTGTAAATATAGCTTAGTGAACCTTAATAGCTTTTAGGTTTCAGGTTAAAATTCCACTTCTGCTGCAGCTCATCTTAGTTTCCATAGTATAAAAACACTAAGACTATTGCTACTCCCCAGTACAGGGCAAGGTAACAAAATTAACACTGGCGATCTATCAGGTTATCTAGACAGCTACAGTAGTGCCACTTAATATCCAACTGCACTAAGACGAATCAGGCAAAAAATATCCTGCTATTGAAAAACGATTTGGACAGTTGGTTTATTTTATACTGTCACACACTTACTACCTGTCACAAACTGCTTTTATATTTAATTTGCTTTTCTCTGAGATGCATGTAAAGCAAAGCAGTTGGATAATAAATAGCAAATTAGACATTTTGGAGTGTAGTATCACTGAGTATTTTTTAATTGTTGTTTATATTTTGACCCACCTTGTGGGCTCATTAAAATACAGCACAACTTGTAAAAATACCCAGCGATATTATACACCAAAATGTATGATAAGATTATATATCTCCATATAAGTGTCTTCTCAACAGTAGTGGTGGCCTTTAGACAGGGTTTGAATCATGCCCTTTACTTTTGGTCTCCAAGATCTTAATTATCTGCTATTATGGTAATATGGCTGAGTGGAGTCCAATTTGGTCTGTAATCATCAGAATGATTACAAAATCGAATAACAGCCTAATGCAAGTCCAATGTGGGAATATAATATAAGGGAAATTTGGCATTAGAAATGCTTGAGATTCTTCTTGGAAATGGCTAAGAAAAAGAAGAAAGAAAGCTAAGGACTACATGGTTGTAATCAAACTAACAAATGTTTATTTTTTTAAGGCTTTCTTTTCAGTTTTGCTAGTGTTGCCACTAGTACAGCTTATAAAGTGAAGGACTCTGTTAAAGAAACTGTTGAGAAACAGGTTTGTGTGACTTGCTTAATTTCTTTTTATTAGTAAAGAAGTTATAGATAATTCCCAAACATTCATCTGCATTAGTTTGTTGGAAAAAAAGTACTGTTGATTAACATGTTACTGTGTTAGTCTACAATGCCGACACTTGCACAGCGAATTAATACATGGGTAAGCATAGATATGGAAGTTGAATACAAGAAGAGAAATCCCATATCTACAAGCAACCATGTATAATTTTGTTTTTGTTATATAAACGCCGTAGGCCTTGGATCGAGAATGGTGAACACTTTGCCATTCATTCGTGAACCTGACAGAGTGGCATGAAAGGCTGATTGATGAGACAGGAACTGATTGACAATATCAAACAGACAAGAAAATTTATGGTGTGCAGTAACGGCTTTTCTCAGGGCTGGAAATCCCTATTAAATATTGCAGTTGGTATGATAAATATATTTTTATGACAGTTATTTAAAGTCCATCAGAAGATAACTTCCAAATTTTATTTGTTTGCAGTCAATAATTGGAGATTTCAAGAAGCAACAAGATGAATTTGTGAAGGAAAAGAATTGTAAGAGAAGAGGTAAAGACTGGGGAAAACTAGAAATTTAAATACTAAGTAGAAGCCTGCAGGGTATTGTAAAGAAATAGATTATAATTATTAAATAGCTCCATGTTGATTGAACTTAACTTCAAGAGCAAAGCAAGTGAGTGAGAGATATTAATTATCAACTCAAGATGATAAATTTGTTATCTACAGGCAGAAAGGTACATTGTGTAGCATTATGAATATGTGATTTGCAGAAAGATCATTAAGAAATACAACAACAATAGTTACTAGAATAAATGTCTTGATGCCTCTAAAAAACACTTTGTTTCAACTGATAATTTTAGAGACTGCAGTTCCTCCATGGGTAGGCTACAATGAAGAGGAGACCATGAAAAATCAAATCTTAGCCCTTTCAACAGTGAGTCACTAGCAATGCATATTTAACGATGCTTTCCTGTTTCATTGTTCTATATTTGATAAATTAACTTTGTTACATTGTATGTATTAAACATTTTACTTACTAGTTTTTGCATAAAATGATCAATAAGATTGAGTAAGATAAGCTGCTCAGGGAATTAAGTAGAATGTGTTAGTGGTGGTGTTATTTTGAATCACTATTTTCACTTTCAAGGACGAAAGAAACTTTTTGCGAGATCCTCCATCTGGTGTTCCATTCCACTTTGAAAGTGACTCGATGTATCCTGTTGCTTTGGCAACTTTGCAAGAGGACAAAAATCTTAGTAAAATGAGATTTCAACTTGTACCTAAAAAGTGAGTATGTGATATGACAAAATTTTGTTTCCTTATTTTACAATCTCATTGTTTATTTTACAACCAAAATGTCATGGTCAAACTGTCCTCTTTTGAGGTTCTCATTCTTGACTCAAATAATTGTGTGTATTTACACTCTTGGTTTAAATCAAAATCAGTCCAAAATAATTTCAAAGTAGCCCAAGTTTGATTTGTATTTCTCTTTGCTCAAGAATTATCAAGGAATGATCAATTATCAAGAACAAAGGAAAAAACAAATTACAAGTTCAAAATCATTTTAATACGAATTCACTTTCACTTACATGTACCCATACAACATGAGCACTTGAACAGTTGTACAAACACTGCAGGGCTGTTCTCTGGGAGCCCAGTACTCTGAAATTGTGAAATCTAGGGTACCCAGCATATGCTTTTTATCAAAAAACTATGATTCCTTAGTTGTCCAAGAAAAACAAGCTAGAGGCTACAGGGGCAGTCAGAGCATAGCCCTGAACAGCCCCAATGTTACTTTTTTTAATTTTGTCTGAAAAAGTAAGGAATCTTTTAGACCTTTTAGAAGGAAATGTTTAACATAAAGGTAACCTGATTCATAGTAGATTCATTAAAGAGAACTCTAAACATACTTCATATAATTTAAATCTTTCTTTTCCCTTTTTTTATACAGAATTTCAGAGGAGAGATTTTGGAGAAATTACTTTTACAGAGTTTCACTTATAAAGCAGTCAACACAGCTTACATCATTGGCTGCTGCCGGTAAAGTTACAATGTCGATAATAATAATAATAATACTACTAATAATAATTTGTTAAATATGAACCTTCTTGCTTTTACATGAATCACTATGTTGTGGTACTAAATTTTTAAGATGGAAATAATTTGCTACAAATCCCTCTGTTCATCTGACTGGTAATATTTCTGTGAATGAAGTTGTCATTTTTCTAATTTTTCAGTATCGTTTCTCTTGTGGCAGGTGGTGGGGGCTCTAATGGCAGTGACAGGCAAAATGCAACATCAGAAACAAAGTCTGATACTGGTTAGTTTTGATAATGATTTTTTTTTTTTTCAAGTATTAGGTTTGTATCTGCACTTACCGGGGAACTCAGAACTTTAAAATTGGTGAAAAGCTTTGATGGCAATTAATAACTAAATCCGAACTAAACTGTATTTTAAACTCTGGCCTCTTTTGGAGCCCTTGAGTTTTGATCAATTTGAAACACTGTGTTCCAGTTATCTTATATACATCTACACAAATGTAAGCTTAGCTTGTAGACTGCTTTCATCTTTAAGTTGGTAAATTGTTTTTCAGCATATATAGGCTAATCCTGTAATCATTAATATCCTCTCAAACAGTTATTGTCTCATAAACTTTGCAGAATCAAGTCAAAGTGGTGCTGTCAATGTGCCCAGAAAGAATGTAGAAACACCTGTAAGTCTTGTATTCCACAACTTTCCCTTTGATTATTCACTTGTGTTGACTTTTACTTGAAAAATTGAAGCTTCTGCATCTCTATGGTGTGAGTGATGCAGTTATTTTTTAAAACAGAATACCCCAGAAGAAGACTTCTCTGAGCCAATTTCAGATGAGCACTCTGTACAAAATGAATTCATCAGTGATTCCTTTGCACAAACAGAACAAGGTACTTCATAGAATTCTCATTTCTCTATGATTAAGCATTCTCTTTTGTCCCTTGTCTCTCTCTCTCTCTAAAATCATTTTTTAATTGATAGTAATAAATTTCTGTTAGCCTCATGCATGTTATAAGAATTGGTGTTTTCTACATGTAGAACTCAGTCATGATGACTTGCGGCAAATTGGAATGGAAAAGAAACCAGAAGGAGATCAAAACAATCAATTAAATCCAACAGAAGGAACAAAACCAGCGACCCCTGGTAAGTTGCCTACTTTTTTTTATTCATAGGATGTATACTATGGTTCAAAGAAATGTAAATTTTGTCTAGGATGAAAAGTTTATTGAGTCTGTCATGTTTTTCTCAGAAACTCAAGAGGATATTCCAGAATGGGAAAAGGAGCTTCAAGCAGAGTTACAGGTGAAAACCTTTTTAAGTGAAACCAGTAGTTTATGTCAGTAAAGAGGTTGAGACTGTAATTTCTGATATGCAACCTTCCTTCCCAAACAATTTTTTGGGGTTCATTTGGAAGAGTACATGTATGCTGCAGTGGGCAACCATATTGCTTTGTAAACTACTGTCAGGTTTAGGGTTAGTGTTTTTGTTATCCTTAGTTGCTGTGGATGATTTCTTACTGCATTATGTTGTAAAGTTTTCCTGTCTCTCAATTTTTTAGACTACAAGTGGTCTCTCCTTTTTGGTAAAGTCTGTCAGCCTTAGGCAAGCAAAAACCAAAAGAAGTGAAAAAATTGATGTTAGTGCACTGCACAGAACTCTGGAAGTGAAGTGCACAAAACATAGGACCCCCACTTTTCATACGCCACCTAATTTTTCATTGTCAAGAAACTATATGACACACATTGATTGACAGTTGTGGCTTTTAAAACCTACCAGTATCTCTTTATTGTTTTATATCTTATTTTTTTCTGTTTTTGTTTTGTTTTTATTGTTGTTATTTGTAGGATTTTGAAGTTGTTGACAATGAGGATAGTGCTGAGTGGGAAAAAGAAATTGAAGACATGCTGGAGGAAGAAAATGTATGAAGGCACTTGTCAACTGATCCCTTACTTTCGGAAAACTTGCTTTAATTTATTCACTAAATATATGAAGCAAAATAATTTAAACATTTCAGACAGGTTTAGAGGGGAATGTGCTGAGTTCTGTAGACTCAATATGTTTTGCTTATGTTATGGCATGATCATGCAGCCTTGTTATCAGGTGAGGTTTTTCCATTAAGTTCAATTTATGTCTGTAACTTATGCTTTTGTGTGATGTAGAAATGCAGCTGTATGTGATGATAAATTGCAGTGAGTGAGAAGATAATTTTACATCAATGCTGATTAAATTGTGGGATATTTTAAAAGTGAGTCAGAAAGTTTTGTGGAAGTTTTGAAAAAATATATATATATTGCATAATTTTGTGGTAAAGGGGCAGGGGAGCTTGTATTGGTCAAACTATTAAGTGGTGAATTGTGCAAAAATGCAATAATCAGCAGTATTTTGGTGTATCACAGATTTTGTTTATTTCTTTTGTTATTAGTTAGATACCTAGTGTCAAACTTGTACTTTTGGCTGCCAAGCACATTGCACAAAATTCTGTATAACTAGTAGAAACTCAAGGCAGCAGAGTCTCACAAATGAAAAGCAGAGCTCTTTGCAATTCCTCTCGCACCTTTAGCATAAGCCTTTGTGTAGTTCGTCCAATCAAAACACTCAAAAAGTGGTCAGCTGCTAAGATTAAAAACACTCAGCCTCTAAAACTAAAAACAATCAGTGTAAAGATCCATAAGGTAACATATTCTATATTGTGATATTCATCTCTAATTTTGAAGTTGAATAAAAAGGTCATTGGTTTCTTTGACAGTACTGGTTTTTCTTGCTTTCTTAAATAGCTAAGGATTGGGATATGCAATGTTAGGAAATATCACTGCAAAGGGAAAGCTGGTCTTGGTTGGACAAAATGTGATGCATTTTGTGAAACTTGAAAGATGAGCTTTTTTTTTAAAATGGCCTTAATTCCACCTACAGTATGAAGATCGTCATATTCTCCATGCTGTTCTCTGTACATTTCCTAAGGTGCTGACAAAAAAAATTTGTCTAACAATCAATAGTTTCTTTAGTTAGTGATCATTTCCATTATTCAACTGACCCTTACATGTCATCCAGGGGTGATGTTGGTGGCAAAATTAGATGCTAGTCACTCTTAGGGATGTAAGGCTTAAAATAATCAACCTAAGCTCTTAACAGTTTAACAAATTGTTTATGTCAATACTGCAAGAAATATATGGAGAACTGTATGAACAATATGCATACTGATGTTTGTGTGTAATGAGTTGACAGTTCTCCACCATTCCTTTTACAGATGTTAGAGGTTCAAATACCAGCAATATAGAATCTGGTGTAGTTTCCGTCTGATAGCAAGTGTTTGCTTATGGGTAACCCTTTGACCCTTAAGAGTAACTTGCATCTTATTTTTCCATTAAAATAAGCCTTGGATCAAACATCAAGGTCATGTGAATAAAGGAAATGATTGCAAACCAAGAAGAACTTGGTTGTTAGACAGATTCTCCTTGTAAGAACTAAAAGAAAGGTACAGAGAACAGTATTGAGAAGTTGCATACTGATGTAAGGTTTTTAAAACATCAATACAGGGTCCACATTAAACTGGTTTCACAGTCATTGGTTGATAAACTAAAACTCTTCCTTAACACTTGAGATCAGTGTCAATGTAATGCAAGGTTTTAATTCATGCATGAATATTTTTTGAATGGTTATTACAATATTTATAACAAATACACACATACACATATACATTAGTTCAATTTTGCAATCTTCACCCGACAATGAGGTGTTTAAGTACAATGACTGAAAAGCGTATGGTGTGTGGTGCTCTTCCAAAATCCTTCAGCAGTAAAAACGACAGACTATCAGTAGATAATAAACAAGATATTACAGTGAGTATTTTTGATGTTATTTAAGAACAAGAAACAAAGGCTATACGATCAAAGGAAGTCAAGTCTTATGTTGCCTAGTTCCAAGGCCTCATGGTTTTCATATGGTTGTTTTTAAAAGTTGAAGAAACACATATTGATTATGCTTGCATCACCTGACTTACCATGTAGGGTTCCATAAAATCTCTTTAAGGAGAAACCTAATGCTACCTTGGCATCTGAACAATTTAAATTACACTTTGATTTACTCAAAATAATTTTGAACATGAATAAAGATCTGATTAAAAGTCTCTTGCATCAAGCCACTCTAAAGTTGAAATGTAAGAAATTTTTTCTCATTAAAATGTGTGATTTGTAGTACAAATTTCAACAGGCTTTTTCATGTTGCTGTTTTAGGATTTTTTGAACTGGACACCACTTTTATATACTTTTGTCTGCCAGACTGAGGATTTTAATAGTCTTAATATCAGCTGATCCTTTGGAACTTCTTTCATACATGAGAGCAGATGAGATTGGTGAGCAATAAAAGAAAGGCTGGGAAGAAAACATAGTTGATGTTGTGGTGCTTATATCACTGGCCTACTATAGTCAACTAACACAGATTGGACAGTGCATTTAGCATACACTTGTAATTACAATCATGTATTTCTGTCTCTCATTTGGGTGAAAGGTGAACTCGAATTGGAAGTTGTTACATGAGCTTAACTTAAAAATAGCATTTGGTATTTTTTACCACACAATTTTTAAAATATTATTCTCTTTCATTCATTACTTGCATCAATGCTTATCCCTGAAACTATAACACCTCCAATTTCAGGCTTGCAGGAAGAATACATGAAACTTTGACCGTATGCCACCCTTTCCATGATTGTAATAATTGTGTAGAATTCTGGCAATTTTTTGCCAAGATTCTAAATGGAATTCTCTAATGAGCTAGGGAGAAAGCAGCTTCACTTAAATTAGTTCTCAGCATAAAGCATTGTTAGAAGTAATAGCCTGAAGAACAAACTGACAGCTTCTGCGCATTAGACACATTTCACCCAGGGAAGGGTGATACAGACAGTTCTGCCTGCCTACTGTCAAGTATGGTTGACTTAGTTCTGCATTGTACTCTGTGAAAACATTTTTAAAAATGCACTAAGCATTTATGAGCAGTAATGATGTACTTCCTCATTCCTCACAATTTGGCATCAATACAACAATACAGGAATGATAAACCATTGTTCTTTTGAAATAAACAGATGTCAATTGCTATTTCCGAGTATGAGAGTTAATCTTCAAACTCACAATGTATTTGCTTCTTTTCTCATTCAAGGATGGGTGCTGCTTTTTTATTATTGAAGACCATAGCCACACCTAATCCATGGCCACTCACAACATCAAATAATCCGGTTTGTTCGCAACACGGTGTTTAATTGTAACAATTGTACACATTTCTGACTACCGTATTGGATCCGGTGGTTCGTAGTACGAAATAGCCTTTATACAATGAAAACCTGACACTCCACAATGGGGGCACTTCATTGCCTGTGAGTACTCCCAGAAGAATTTCTTGCCCTCGCTTAGATCCACAACAGGTTTTCCACAAGAATGACAGGCCACTCTCTGCTGACAACATGGAGATGCAGCAAATATATCGTAACAGTACATGGTGCCCAGCTGATGAGAGGATCCATCCCACTCTGTGTTGCAAAGTTTACACTTAACACGATTGGGAATACCTTCCAAACAGTGTAGACACACAGCAGAGAGGTACTGCGCTTTACCGTTCTGTGACACGTCTACGCAGCTCGAGTTGAGTTGTCTCGGTGTCAGGAAAAATGTTCCGTCGATAAGTGGATATCTGTCGAAAACTGGTAGCTCCCGACAACAGAGCACGCAGCTCGCAGTGCACGTCATGCGAGACGACAAATTCGATAGGACAAAATGACGCGCTTCGTCGTTCATCTCGTCTTCCATTTTAATGTGATAAGGGTTGACTTTGTGCCTGGGTAAAACGCCTTGAAACGAGCTAAAATCTGCTCTTTTCAAAAAGGTACTCAATACGTTCGCGTGCGAAGAAAGTGTGTTCGAATGATTGGCGCCATGATTGAACGCCTCGCCGAAGAAGTGGTAAGTATTTTCATGCGAATTTGCTCTTGTCTTCTTCGTTGGTGTTTTCGGCTGCGGTGAAATCGGCGATCGCTCCGGTGGCGATTCCGATAACTGGCTACAGTTTGACGACTGAGAGCTTCTACGAGGACGACTCGACGTTGAAACGACGTTCACCGAAGGTTTCTCATTATTCTTCTTCTTCTTTCTTTTGCCTTTTGTCTGGTGTTGTAGTTGAAGTTCTCCTACTTCTTCGGGCTTCGGAGGCACAAATTCAAGGTCCTTTCGCAAATGCCCTTTACCGCATTGGCAAGCGCAGCACTTGTAAGCCAAGTCATAGCCTTTCTTTGTCCATATGTTTTGGCGTCTCTGCTTCTCCGACCAGCTACGTGCTCGACCTGTTCCTCGTAAATACGCAAGAATTTCTTCCTCGAAGTCGTCAAAACACTCACTATGCATATAGCCGCTCTGTCGGCAAGCGTCGTTGTTGCAAATAACCCGAACCGAGGTCGGCAAATCGACTGAAGTTTTTAAAGGACATCCTTTTGGCAGACAACACGCGATGAAATGTTCTCTTTCCGCCTCCTCGTGGTCGGAACAAGTGTCTTCACTCATGCTAACTCGAACTTTCTGTTTTTGCGCTTTCGAGTGAGGCATATTGATAACTCAGTTCCCACCCAAAAACAATGAGATCAGTTCCCTTTATAACCAACTTCCACGTCCTTTTCCAACATGCAAAGTGTTTCCTAATGTACAGCGCAGATTAGCCCTATTTACATTGCATGTCGTGACAAGGGGTGGGGCTTGTGTGACCACCTGACACGCATCAGGTTAGCTCCTTTTGTTCATTTCAATGGGTGACGAGGTCTCCCGGATGAAGAGTCGCGCAACGAGAAAAGGGTAAGTGACACGTCACGTAATTTCATGCAAGCCTTTGTTCATCTCTGACTACTCAATAAAACCGCCGGCTCGTGGCTACTTAATTTCGAAGATCCTGATTTATTTCTCCATTCATGGAAAAAATCAACTTTTTATTTCAACTTCTACTCGTCAAGAAAAAAAACGGAAAATAAATCAGCTTGGTATTTTTTCATGACACCAGCTCGAAGGTTGAAAGAACCATGTAATCAAGCAGATCAAAATATATTTGTTGCAGCAACCGCATTTTAGAACAATAGACCGAAGGATTGTTTTATTCCGGATGATTGCCCCAATGATGAAACACTGAAGAAACGAGCTAAAACTGTGAGCTACCACCTGTTGCATCCTTTATCTTATCGCACTTTGAAAAAAGACAGGTGCTTTTCTTATTTGGGATTTTTTTCTTTCCTTTTTTTTCTTTCTGCTCGGCTCTGATATAATTCTATTCGTCACCCAGTAACCCCAAAATATATCTTGAATCACCTCTGAAACAATAATGATTTTCTTGAATGTTTTTCAAATGGAAATTTGACCCCTTTTCATTTAGTTCTATATTGTATTTTACGTTCAATTTATTTATTTTGATGAATATGAATGTTTTTTGCAACAACTCTCGTACCACATTTTTTTAAAATTTTTATGAACAATCGTAAAAAAAAAATTCAATTCCGTAGACTCTTAACTTCATTAATGAGGTTGATAATATCCCTTCTTATCGATTCATAAAAATTGTCTTTCCTTCGAGCTAACTGACCGTGTCAGGGACATCATTATTTTCCTTTGTGGTTAAAATTTTACATCGACGCGAATTAATTATTCAATACACTCGCCCATTTCTCATTTTCTGACAGCACTGGAATATCAAGCTAGTATATATTTTGAAAACGTCTTATCTCGAGACAACGGAAACAACTGACCCTAAAAAGTAAAGGAGAACTGAAAGTTATAGCCAACCAAACGAAGAGGAAGAATTTTGTGATTGAATAATTAAAACCTCCATTTGTGATTGATAACACGACATGCCAATCCTTCCACTTTGTTGCCTGTACTTCAGGCTTTATTCCATATTTCTCTAAAGGCAAATTTTCGTAATTAAGAATTTTATATTAATCTTTTTAGCGATGAGCGGAAGAAAAATCGTTAAGACATTATTACGGAGTTTCTGGTCGAGTCTGGCCTACTGCGCTCAACCGCGCGAGGGAAACAAAATGTTTTTTTTCATATTCATGATTCCTTAGAGAAAGAAAAATGTTCACACGGTACCACTTCGTTTACTGACAAATGCTCAATGTGGCAACTTTCACCTTCATGTGCTTAGGTCATCTTGGGACGGTTATACCGTGTGATTACCCTCTAGTTAATGATTATAAATCTTTGTAAATCTGCGAGTGAAAAACAGGGCTTTTGATTGTTTATGAGAGGTTCAGTAAAGCCACCTAAAGCAAATGAAAGATGAAAATGGCCTTATTTTCCCCTGATGTCACCTGCTCAAAATCACGGTGTTTTATTCCGATTGTTTTTCTCCGTAACTGACGGTTATACAAAGTTTGTAAGAAAGTGCGGAAGTTATTCTAGCCACAGACCGCCCAAGCTCAAGCTAACTGATCATCCTGCGAAATAAGGAGTCTTGGCGAAAATATTAGGGTTTGTATGGGAATATTTACGACTGCTTTTAGGAAGTAAAAACACAGTCAAATTCTCAATAAATACCTCACCTTGCTTTCAGAGTGCTCGTTTTTTGACCGCTTACTATGTTGAAAAGAGGCCATTTTAGCGAGTTATCCATTTCTCGGTTTACTACTCATAAGAGAAGGACTTGATGATCTCACAGCTGGTGCTTGGGCTGCCTGTGTTTCAGCGCGCAGCGTGTTACCAACGTTACTGAAGTATTTTTTTGGAAGCGAGAGCCTGGCACTATTATTACCCAGGATCCTTTTCGCGTCACGCAGAGAGGCAAGAAGAAACTTTCAACATGGCGCTCCCAGTACCAAAAACGATGTTCCAACACATGCTCAAGGAAGGAGCAAAGGTATTTCTAGTTTTATGATAGTTAGAGGCAAAGCTATTTTTCATTGCTACATCTACGTTGCAGCATTTTTGGTTAAAAAATTCAATTTATGAGAGATCTGTACCCAATTGAATGGCAGAGCCGGTTGGCACGTGCCACAGGATTTGTCAAATTTTCGACTTCGAGGAAATTGTAGTTTTTCTCGAAACGCTTTATAGTCATCAAGCTCTTTACTTCTTTTTACGAGTCTCGATAATTTATTTTTGCTAAATCATCGAATTAAATTTGAAGCGCTCGACCCGATAGACTGACGTCGCAAATGATTATTTTAGAAAGTCGTACGTTCCTGTACATGCACAAGTAAAGCTCCTCTCCTATTGGAATCGTAAGGTTGCTTAGGCCTCCGTCCGGAGAACCAAGGTTCCCAGCTCTGATTTACCTCAAATTGTGCCACACACATGTGTAAAGACTATTAAATAGTATGTATCTCCTCACTAAAAAGGTTTCAAATAAATTTTCAGCATTACTCAGGTCTTGATGAAGCAGTTTTCAGAAACATTACAGCCTGCCGCCAGTTCACTCAGATAACAAGATCGTCATTAGGACCTAATGGTAAGTGTGATGTCTTTGATAGCTTAGACTGATTAGTGATAAGATACAAATTAATACCCAAAATGCCTTACCATGCTAACTTGGCAATCAGTCAAATTCCAGAGTAATCTTGTAGGGCATAAATGATATCCTCACTTCAAGACCTAAAAATTTAGTCAAGGTAGTGTTAGGTAGGTGAGCGTTATGTGGTGATCATTCCCTTTATTCTCATGACCCTCATGTATGGTTCAGGGGCGCTGCTGCTGCAAGAAGTTAGATGCTGGTCACTCTCAGGGGTTAAAGTGTTAATTACAAATGTTATCTCATCAGGTACTCTGGTTTTTAGATTAATTATTGAAAGTAATCCTTCTGCAATTTTCTTCCAAGGTATGAATAAAATGGTTGTGAATCATTTGGAAAAACTATTTGTGACAAATGATGCTGCTACAATAATAAAAGAATTGGAGGTAAAGTATGAAAGAATCATTGAAATTAAAGATTTTGAGTTGGCACTTCTTGATCAGGCCCTAAACAAACAAACAAACAAACAAACAAGAATTCTAAGTGAACTCATTAACTTTGAAATGTCAACAAACAGGTAGCAGACCAGGGCTTAAGATTGGACCCTGATACAGGTGCCACTGCAACAAACACTTTTTTGCTGGGGACCAAAAGTTCTGGTGTGGTGACCACCTTGTGGACTAGATTTTTATCTGTTTTGAATTTTAAAGTACCTCATATTGTTTATTTTTGCTTCTGTTCTTGAAAACAAAGTGGAAACTTGTATAAGGAAGGCCTGTCAGCATTGAACACCCCCATTTTTAGACACACATTATGTAGACAAACACAGAGAACATTTAAATGGAGTCCTGATAATCAATCCTGTAATAAGTACAGTCTTTGTGTATGTTGATGGTTCAATTTTTCTCCAGGTTCAACATCCAGCAGCAAAGATGTTAGTTCTAGCTTCACAGATGCAAGAACAGGAGGTAATAAGAATTGAGTTTAAAGCAGAGGAAGGCATGCAGTGCTAAAATTGGAAAAATTTTGGTAGGGGTCCTTAATTGCCAAAGGCTTGGATTGAAGTTGTTCCATTTAACTGATATCATTGCTGTGGTGCTCTTGAAAAAAGTTCTCTAGGTGTGCTCGTGGAGATACAACCCTTAGGCCATTGCTTTCCTGGGCATAATTACAATAAACTTGTATAAGATGCAATAGTTTAGGGACTGCCTCTCAAATCTCTGTTTATTTGGTAACAAGCTTGCTGTCCTATGATGATAAAAAGGAGGTGCATTGTAACATATCTTCTAGGTTGTCTGTGATTTTAGCCAAATTGCTGTGAAAACTTGTTATCTCCCTTTTTGTTCTATGGCTATATGTTTAGGTTGGAGATGGAACAAACTTTGTGTTAGTCTTTGCTGGTGCTCTTCTTGATGCTGCAGAAGAGCTCCTGAGAATGGTAATGATTGTCTTGAATTTTGCCTGTTAAGTAGCTACTGGTATAATTTGAAAGTTGGAAAATCTGTAGCTGCCTTAGGACACTTTTGTTTGCCGAATTTGCTTACTAAGCAACTTAGTGCTGGTTATTTATGTGAGGTCTAACCCAAACCACTGTGGTTTTCAAAATTAGAGGGCCACAGGCTTTCTCTATAAGAGGGTTGAATTAGGCAAGTAAATCTCTGACTGTTAGCTTTCTGCCCTCTTGACACTGTTAACAAAACTAAATGTTCAGATTAAAGGTTTAGCCTAATTGAGGATTGTGTAGGACACAGTTTTGTTAAACAATGGCTGTAAACTTTGTCTAAATAATCAAACCTTAATGTTTTGAGAAGTAGAAATTCAGGGGTCACAAATTTTTACTAATAACAGTATAGTAATGCATTAAGCCATGAAATAATTTCCAACACCAACATTTAGCAACACTTCATTATTATTTTGATTAACTTTAATTTGGAATTATTCAGAAAATTGCCAAATGTGATTGTTTAGGTGAAGTGTCACAGTGATGTTTCAGATACAACATGGTTCAAATTTGTTTTGGTCTCTGTAGGGTCTCTCTCCTCCTGAGGTGATTGGAGGCTATGAAAAGGCTTGTAAAAAGGCTTTAGAGATATTACCAGGTATTATTAATAATTTTATAGTTATCAGTTATGCCCTTAGCTCTTCATGGAGGATGGCCCTTAACAATTTCCCTCTCCATCTTGTTCTGGGCTAGCCTTTTGGGTCCATGTGCAGCCCCACTTCTTCATCTCAGCCTGAAAATCTTGCTGCTAAGCGCTGTTTGGGTGTCCCTTTTTCCGTTTGCCCTGGAGATTCCATTACCTGGTAAAATTGATAGTTTTATGCCATTTTTGGTTAAAATCTTCTGATGGATGATGATATTAGCTTGAACTTAAAATATGCTTTTCAGTGAAGAATGCATTTCCTTATGGGGAAGGCTTCATTACCTTTTGAATTAAACATCTGAGCTTTGCAAAATAGGCAAAAGCTTTTGACAAAACCCCTGCCATGAAGAAGCAAGAGTCAATGCCAGTACACAATATATGGCAATGTAAGCTGCATTCTCCTATGTTCGTGTAGCTATGAAAAATTGATCCACTCACTGTGTACTGTTATCCAGTTTTATAACTAGTGAGATCTTATTTCCATTTTCTTACACCTCTGTAGTGGTTGAGTTTGTTTCAATTTTTTTTTTACTTGATTTCAAATCAGTTTTATTTTTATTTTCTCATTTCTCATTCCTGATCTTAAACTGAAATTAAAGAAAGTAAAAATGTAACCGGTTTGAAAAATTCCTTGTTAATAACATATTTGAACCCCAACTGGTACAAGGCAAATTCCTATAATAAAGTAGGAGGAGGTTTATGAGGAATTTATTCTTCTGTAGAACTGAGTTGCTCGGGTTTATCCGATATGAGGGATAAAGAGGAAGTCATCAAAGCTCTCAAAACTGCAGTGGGAAGTAAACAGGTATGAGTTGGTCAAAAAAATTCCAAATTATACTGTGCTTGCTGAGGTCAAGACCGGGAACAGTTCAAACCATTCAATCAAAGCTGATTACCAGCAGTCTACTGGAGCCTATAGACCTCTTACTGCTGTCTATTTAGTCTGTAAGGAGGCTCTCATGTTTGGGTTTCACCTTCTGAGCACAGCTGCCTATTACATTGTCAGCAGCTGCTTTTGGAAAAAGTTATTGAAACCCCTGTATTAATGAAGGCATTTTTATCTGAAAGTCACTGGATGATCTTGCCTCTCACCAATACTCTCTCTTTTCTCAGTATGGAAATGAAGACTTCTTGGCAAAAATTATCACAGAAGCATGCGGTAGGTGATCGTAATGATAATCATTATCTTGGTAAACTTTTACAGCTGAATTTCTGTATGTATGTATATATGAAATATGGCCAGTGCTAAACACAGACAGTGTGTGTATCTTGACCTCCAATGTTTATTTCTGGTTTTCTTCTTTTCTTCCTTCTAGTCTCTGTATTACCAGAGAAAACTCCTTTTAATGTGGATAATGTGAGAGTGGCAAAAATTTTGGTAAGATTCATAAGTCTTATGGATGCTCTATGATCCTGACAAATTTAAATAATTGTTTGACAATTTATTTTTTGGAGTTACTTGTTCCTGTACATGTATATTAGAAAGAAAATTGTTTAAAGCAAACCTTGCAATCAATATATTTTCATTGTATTTTGCAAGCTTCAGAAATATAATCAGGTTCCCAATAGCATCAGCACACAAAAAACCTTTTTCTTGTCATATTTTGTCTGTTACAGGGTTCAGGTCTTCATAGTTCAGAAGTTGTTCAAGGAATGGTGTTCAAACGTGAGGTCGAGGGTGATATTAACTCACTTCAGAATGCTAAAATTGTAGCCTTTTCTTGTCCATTGGATGCCATGACAACAGAAACAAAGGTTGGTTGAGTGCCCAGTGATTTGACTTACATGTAAATTATAGTGGGAAGAGGGAAAGATGAAGTGGTTAGAGAATTAAAATGTAAACTTGAGTGGATAAAGACAGAGGTAAAAACTTGAATTAAACCCAGTTGTCTGTGTCTAATGTTGTTTTTACTAAATTCCTAAGCATAGGATGGCCTTGTATCAGCATATATGATAATTTTTATGAAAATATGCTTTTTTTATTTTTGATGATGTTACAGTACTTTATATTTAGTTGTACATCATTAATTGTATGAATGTGTTTCAGGGTACAGTCCTCATCAGAAATGCAGAAGAACTAAAGAGCTTCAGCAAAGGAGAGGAAGAACAACTCGAAAAGGTCAGCTAGCTTCCTTTAATCAACATGCATCTCTCTATCTTGAATTTGTTCTGAACCTCTTGAGGCAAACCTGGGAGGAATTTGCTTTTCTATTTGGAAAGACAATTGGGGGACTCTTCACCTAACACTTTTGGACCTTTACTCCAAACCTGATGCTATTTAACCCTTTACACCCTAACATCAGTATGCATATTCTTCATACTGTTCTCCATATGTTTCCTAAGCTGCTGGTAAGGAGAATTTATTCATCAATCAAGAGGTTCTTTAGTTGGTGATTGTTTCCTTTTTTCTTGTGACTGAAATGTGTGATTCAGGGGTGATATTGTTTGGAGAAGTTAGATGCTGGTCACTCTTGTGGGTCAAAGGGTTAAGTTATTTTATGTTAATAGCAAGCAACCAGGAACTACAAACATACTAGCAATTTAGTGTTTAAGCAGTCTGCTGTGTTCCTTGCTTTTGTCCTAGCAAATATTCTCTTTGATTTCAGCAAATCAAGGCCATTGTTGATACTGGTGTTAACTGCATTGTAACTGGAGGAAAAGTGGCTGAGATGGCCCTACACTTTTGTAACAAGTTTAATATTTTAGTAGTTAGGTTAGTTTACCTTTTCCATAACATTTTCTTGTTAAAGTTGTTTTTGAATTGAAATTTCCTTGTCCAAGATTCCTGTATGTTAAACTCTAGATGACTAGAAATCCTGTGATATCATATTGAAATTGCTTTCTCCCAGGTTAACTTCAAAGTTTGACTTGAGGAGACTTTGTCGGTCTGTTGGTGCAACAATACTTCCGAAGTTTGTGAGTATCCGATTTCTGCAATTTGACTATTGATATATTGCTTTATTGAACACCTGGATTAATGGAGGATGACTTTGTTTGTTTGAACATTTAAACGTGGGGGTAATCTTTAATTTAACTGTATGTCAGGTGAGCATCGAACAGTATCACTTTAGTATGTCATTCAGCATGTGCTTCACCTCGAACAACTTGAGTGCAGTTCTAAAGTAATCGAGAGTTGACCAACAGCTGGCCTATGCTTTGGTAAAAACCTATCGACAGTCTTCTCAAGGAAACTGTTCTTCACTTTTACCAGAGAAAACACTTTAGTTCAGTCGGTAATCGAATGGGAAGGATTGGAATCTATAGTTTTAACCTTGTTTATTTAAGGTTGTACTCTCTTTTCCACCAGACTACCCCGACGTCAGAGGAGATAGGTTACTGCGACGAAATCAAGGTGTCAGAGATTGGTGGTACCTCTGTTACAATCTTCAAACAAGGTAAAATGTTGTGACTGGACGTCATTTTCTGACTGAAAAGTTATCTAGAGCTTTTAAGTACCTGTCCAACAGTTTTCGGTTCACTTTCCTCAAAAGTCTCACAGTTGCAATCAGCAAAATTTCCTCGATACAATCTCTTTGATTTTTATTTCTTGATTTTTTTTCTCTGCTTTTAGAGCGCGAGGAGACGGCCGTGTCTACTGTAGTTATTCGCGGTTCAACTGAGAACATCATGGATGACATTGAGCGGGCTATTGACGATGGTGTGAACACTTTCAAAGCACTGTCACGGGATGATCGCTTTGTACCTGGTGCTGGTGCTACTGAAATAGAACTCGCAAAACAGATATCTAGCTTTGGAGAGGTATGTTGAGAACAAGGGGGAAATTCCTTTCAAGTATATGCATCATTCTCAGACACATATTGGAAAAACCTTGATTTATTATGTTTGTTCCTGGGGTGCTGTTTGTTTGATTGTTTGGTTTTTTCTTTTACTCGTTTTCTTTTTGATGAACTTTGTTTTTCTATCTGTCGATCTGTCTGGCCGTTTGTCTGTCTATATATCTATCCGTTATCTGTCTGCTTGTCTTTCTGTCTGTTTTTCGGTCTGTTTTTCGTGTCTTTCTGTTCGTCTTCTATCTGTCTGCGTACCTGACTGTCTGCCAATTTATCTGTCTGTCTGTTTGTTTGTCGGTCTGTCTATTGAGGTCTTTCTATCTGTGTATTTGTCGGTCTGTCTGATGATCTATTTGTCCGTCCCTCCGTTTGTCTGTCTGTCTGTCTGCTTATCTATCGTAAGATCAATATCCTTAAGGAGAGAATTCTTGGCTTCTTTGGCTAATTGCATTTAAATCTTTTCACACAGACCTGTGCAGGCCTAGAACAATACGCCATTAAGAGCTTTGCCGACTCCCTGGAGGTCATTCCCAAGACCCTCGCCGAAAATGCCGGCGTTAAAGCCACGGAGGTGATTTCCAAACTGTATGCAGCCCATCAGGCTGGGGATAAGAACGCGGGATTTGACAACGAGGTAGGGCCTGGTATCAGAGTTGATTAAGCATGCAAACTGTCAAAAGGGGAGACACAATGCTTTAAATGTTATATGTGTTGTCTCTTTGTCGTTTATGAGTTGTTATTGTCATTATTTTGTTTTCAGAGTGGAGGCGCGGCAATTAAAGATGCTGTGAAAGCGGGAATCCTCGACTTGTATCTTGTGAAGTACTGGGCGCTTAAGTTTGCTACAGATGCAGCCGTAACGGTGCTGAGAGTTGACCAGGTATCAAGGCATTCTGCATACGCATTATGACAATGTCCCAAATCTGTTTGTGTTCAAAGAGCAGTAAAGCTTGGTTACCTGTAGTAGGCTTCGTAGAGAGTATATTTATTATCTCGTTAGTTATTTAATAAACTTTAAGTCCTTTTTTTTCTATTTTTATTCCAGATAATCATGTCTAAACCAGCCGGAGGACCAAAACCAAAAGATAACCCTAACTGGGATGAAGACTAGCTTAAGAAAAACATTAATTGTGAATGAAGAATTATCCAAAGTCAGCGATCTAATCAAGCGATGACCGTCTATGATTTCTCCGTTTCCTCTATTGTTTTAGTCAAGTTTTAACCAGTCCTAGGCCGTGAAAAGTCCGTTCATGACGTCACCGAAGTAGGTCACGCAAAGAATGAACCGCGCGGAAATGAACCATTGTTAAGCAAAATCGCTCACGCTCGTACCGCAATTATTTCTCCACGTTTTCGGTTTTCAGTGCACATTTTATTTGAGAGTGGAGGCTTAGCGATGTACAAGATAAATAGAGGAGTTGCTGGACTTATTTGAGTCCAGGGAGAGGTGTCTTATCGAACTTTAAGTTAATTTGTGGACACTGTGTCGAGAAACGGTCTTGGCTTTAGCCTGAAATGTGGCTTTGTCCTTCAACAGAAAAAGATAATACGCGAATAAACCAGTGTGTTAAATGAGGACTTTGTTAACAACATACAATCGTAAAGAAGTCCTTTAAATTTTAAGAACTTACTGACCGAGTGGGAGGGGCAGGACTGGGGAGAACTTAGCCTCGGGTCATGAAGTATGGATTGAGCTGGTCTGGGTCAGTGAGTCATGACCGAGAGGCAAATATCTCATTGAGCATTTCATTCGACGACCACCTATTTTTCTCTTTCTTATTTTCCTCTTTCAGTGAACTCGAGTTTGTTTGTTTTCCCATGAAGATTGACATTGTGTGCTCGGTGCAACTTGCACGAGTCTTAACTCATCAACGATGGGGTATAACTTTGACACTTTCGTGCGGTCCACACGAATTCAGTTCTTCTGCCGTTGATAACAGGACGAGGGTCAAAACGAACATCACTTGATTAAAAGTTAACGGGAAACTCAGATCAAACTTGACACCAAATAGGTACTGAGAACTCTCGACGTAATATTCAAAATACTTTGGGGAAAGCCGGTTTAAGCCGATCCACTTTGCGAATGTGAAACAGCGGGAGACTAGCCTAGAGCAACACGGACGGCTGTTGTAGAAAGGAAAACATGGAGAGTTGAAACGTTGAAAACTCCCCCCCCCCTAAAAATACTTTAATAATGCAATATGATGTAATGGGATGGCTGAGAACCACTCAAATCAGGAATTAAAAAAATTTAACTATAATTCATTCAATCACCAAGTAAATTTCGCAATGAGGGATTTAAAACATTAAACGATATATGAACAAACCCAATCCACGCATTTTGTCATAGTTTCCTCGGGAGGTGCACGCTTGTGTATCTCGTACCCTATTTACAATTGAATCTGCGAATTTGATAATAGCTCCATCTTAAAGTAACATATATTAAATCTGTTCTTTGGTTCAACCCATTCTTATTGCAAAGTAAGAACTCTGATTTATAATACAACGCAAATATCTTTTGAGGGTCTGTACTGGGTAACATAAGAATCAGACGCTGTTAACCCTTAAGCTCCTAAGAGTGATTAGTATTTAATTTCCCTATACCATATCACCCCTGAATCAAACAATAAGGTAGGGAGAATAAGGAAATGATCCCGAACTAAAGAAACTCTTGATTGTTAACCAGATTCTCCTTGTTAGCACCTTAGGAAATGTATAAAGAACAACATGGAGAATATCCATGCTGATGTCAGGGTGTAGAGGGTTAATGTTTCACTCGGTAAGGTCGCACAACTGGGCAACGTTTCGTATGGTCGCGGTAAGAGGCCGTGACAGTGTTAATCGCTTCTGTCACGGTGGGAAGTCTTTGAAGCGAACTTCATGGTAATGGCCAGACAGGACACCACTTTTCCGCTAGCAACATCTGTCATGTGTCGGTTAAAACAACGGGTTCCTCACAGAACATATCGTCTATCAAAGCAAAGCAAGGATTACACACTCGGACAAGTTGTACGTATCCAAAGGCTGGAATTCTGAAAAATAACAGAGAAAAAAAAAACTTGAAAATCAAACAGGTCCATGATTGCCAACAAGAACAGAGCGTAAGTATACGCTATCGTAACATAATCTTGCTATTTGATTAGCTAACTGAGCTGACACAACTACTGTCTCGAACTAAGCCTTCATAGTGTGGGCCGTTTTTTTTTTTTCGTTTTTTGTTACTGTAGTTAGTTTGTTTCTTTGTTTCATACAAACCAGGAAAAATGTTAGAAGACGAGGTACAGCTAAGAAATCCGCCAAGGTCCGGTGGGGAGGGGAAAGGAAGCAGGCAGTGTTACTGTATGCGATTTTCTTTTTAAAGTAGATGAAAGCAATATTAAACTCACGGTGTTGATTGATCTGTGCAGTTGTGACAGAATACTCGACCACAGCATCGACAATGATGACGCCTCCTTGTCTATGGGAATAAGACCAAAGTTACAAGTACATTCAGGCTAATTTACTTCATTCATTTTATTTTGAGAGTCCACTCTATCTATTGGCTTCCCTCTCCAACCTAAATGACAAATTAAGTTATATTGAAAAAATAATAATAAACATTAATATTGTAATGCTTGCGCTTGATCGTTATAACTAAATTCTTTGAATTATAATATACATTTTTTTAATTTTAATAACAATCCTTAAGAAAAACGTCACAAGTACTTTCAGCTCAAAAAAAAAAAAAAAAAAAAAAGACACTTCTCTTTACGGACACCCCCAAGTCAAAAGACGCAAACTTTGTTCCAGGCTGAAGAAATATGCTCCAAATCTTTAATCTTTGTATTTGATCACGAGTGTATATAAAGGATGACGGTACCAAAGGTAACTACTTTACGCATGCGCACGAAACTGAGCTGCTACAATTCTCGTCCCCGGGGACCTTGGTTCTTCTGATCACCAGGTAATCTGGGAACGAGAATGAGCTGCTAAAATCAAATAGAGGTACAGATGTATCACATTTAACTCACCTGTGTGAAGGGGGCTCGACACCTGCTGTTTGAACAGTAATTAACAAGCTGCAGGAAAAAAAAGAAGAAAAGAAAAAGCTTTTCAAGATGAATCTCAATCACAGAAGAACTTTTACTGGTTTTAAAAATCCCATCCTCACCTCATCCGGGACCCACGTTAGCCTGAAATTGTTTTGCATGTGAAGCACCTCGGCCCGGTCCTTCTCCGCTTGTTTAAGCCGCGCGCTGGCCTTGAATATACAAAGATAAATCAATTAATTTAATTAATCAATCAATTTAAAAGAGTCAGGTTGGACACCGCTAATTTGGGGGCCTGATGAGTTTTTGCATAATCGTTTGATATTGAGAAATTAATAATAAAAATGCGTCACTTATTCACCTAGTGTAGATTTTACCACACGACAAAGCTTCGACGAACAAAAATATACTGAGGGCTACTCGCCAAACGACAGGAAACAATTAGCAGGTGAATGAAGATTTTAGATATATGAAAATTCACATATTTGCACTGCGGTGGAAAGATGAAATTAAGAGATCCTCGCAGCTAAGAACACTACTGAAACGAGTAGTTGTAAATAGGACCTGAAAAAAATTCAGGCCCGTACGGGATTTGAACCCATGACCTCTGCGATACCGGTGCAGCGCTCTACCAATTGAGCTAACAAGCCAACTGGGAGCTGGTCAATGAATTGGGTCCAAATAAACATCCAAGTGAATGAAGATTTTAGATATAAAAACGGGCCTGAATTTTTTTCAGGTCCTATATACAACTACTCGTTTCAGTAGTGTTCTTAGCTGCGAGGATCTCTTAATTTCATCTTTCCACCGCAGTGCAAATATGTGAATTTTCATATATCTAAAATCTTCATTCACTTGGATGTTTATTTGGACCCAATTCATTGACCAGCTCCCAGTTGGCTTGTTAGCTCAATTGGTAGAGCGCTGCACCGGTATTGCAAAGGTCATGGGTTCAAATCCCGTACGGGCCTGAATTTTTTTCAGGTCCTATTTACAATTAGCAGGTGTTCCACTTAACACATGCAGCGTTACAGAATAAGCACTGTGTCAAAAAAGTACCTAGTGCGTGATACAGGTTAAGATTTCGTGCGCAGCAACTAACCTCTTGAAGAGCCGATTCCGTTTCTTGTCGGATTTTAGCCATTTTGTTGACATAGGTAGCTTCGCACTGTTGAAATAAAAGGCTCCAAGTAAAAGTTAAGTTCCAGTCAAGGCCTAATGGATATAAGTCAGGGTGATGTGATTTGTTGTTGAGGTCTTGAAAATGGTCGTCAGTCGAAAAGAAACAATGGTAGATTGAGAGCAAGAAGAGAAGGATCAGAGAAAAGGAGGGTTATCATTTAGATGGAAAAGGTAAACAAAGCAAATTCCGTCACATCATTTGCTGACATACGCACAGTTTATTGCCAGTTATGTAACGTGAGAGTTCCTGACCCGTTTTAAGGCGATCTCCTTTTGTTCTCGTGCAATATCTATCTCTTGCTGTAACCTTGTGACCTCTTTTTCGTGGGCCTGAAACATGTCATGTTAATAACAATTATTGGTAGGCAAAAAGGCTAGCCTGTTCCAGGCGTTCCAGATGTTCATGTTAATTCGTTGCCTTTGTTGGTTACCTCATGCTCAATTAGGTTAAGAAAGCTAATCTTTAATTTATCGGAAGAAACCTACTTATCGGCAACAGCTGCAACCTGCTTTAACCAATCAGAACGCGCAAGCCTCCTAACTACCCAATAGCAGATAAAGAGACGATATAATTTTAACTCCGTTTTGGAGTATTTTCCCGCGCTTAAAAAGGACTGCCTACATTCCCTATTTAACAACGATCAGGTGCTTTCCCAAGCATTTCAACACCTACACTTTTCGCAAGCTTGAAGCCCGCTACATTACGTAACTATTTCAATATTTATTGCTGGATAAATACCTAACACTTCATATTTGAGCTTCATACCTCAGCAGCACTTGCTATTGATTGCATCAGCCTCTTACAGCGCTGTTCTGCGTCGTCCCTCTCAGTCTGACATTTCATCAACCTTTCCTATAAAGAAACGAAAACAGCAAGGAGCGTTTACAAGGTGCGCTCTCAAGGGCTTAAATCAAAGGTGAATTGTTAAGAGGATACAGCCCTTTATAAACATATTGTGCAAAACTTCACCGACTGAAGCTACAAGTCTTGCTGAGGGGTAAAAAGTATAACACTTGAAACACCTATTCATCATATTTTATCAACTTTAATCGACCTCTATATCTTCTCTTTGAGTTGTATTCTAACCTCAAGCTTTGAAGGGTTGGCCGTCACAGAAGGCAACAAATCCGATCTAATGATTGGCTCAACGTCAGCTCTTGGAATGTTATACGACGGAGAACTGGTACCAAAACTCCAGGTCCCTGGACAATAAAAAAAGCAAGAGCACATTTAATTAAGAAGGGTTGAACTAAAAATCAGCGAACAAAGTGGCGGTCTAATTTCTCATTTACTTCTCTTGTGGTCATCTCGGTATTCCGGAAAAACCTATCGCCGGCAACTTTTTGTCTTACAAATGTTTTTCC